CCGTGGTCCCGGCTGCAGCGCGCCGCCTGGGTGTCTGGGCGCTCCATGGGCAGCAGCGAGGGCCGCGATGACCGATTTCGGCGAGGAGCAGCGCAACGAGCTGGAGGCTCTGGAGTCCATCTACCCCGACTCTTTTACAGGTGACTTCGGCGGCCGCGTGCCCGCAGCCGCCCTGGGATGGGGTGGGATGGGCCGGAGCCGCCGCCCTCGGCCTCGCGGGCCACGATGGAGGTGGGGACAGCGGGGCCACTCTCTCCTCTGGTTCTTCTCCCCAAGGGTCCAGGCACTTGCGAGCGACTCCGCGGCTGTTGCTCCGCTTATTGCCTGGAATCTAAAAGCCCGGGCGAGGCGGGCGAGGCCCCGGAGAGCGCCAGGCCTGGAGTGGAGTCGCGGGCACTTTAGTTTCTGTGTAACTTACGGCCACCGGAGGTAGAGTGAAATAACACGAAAACATACTCCACGTGGGAGTCAGCTTTCCAGGCCGCAGAGGTGTCAGTTTGTGCATTTTCGCCTCTCTTCGGGTAGGAGCTGTTTTTCCTGCGCCGGTGTTTTACGGCCGAGGGGATTCGGAGTGGTTGTTTGCCCGGAGTCTGTTTGAGAGGAGCTTTGTTCCCGAGGCTTGTCGTTTCCCTTTTGCTTCTTTTTTCAGATTTTTCTGGCATTCTGCAGCATGCCCAGTGAGCGGGGTGGCGCGAAGGGCAGTGCCGCTCTGGGTTCGCAGGTGTTCGCCGTCCAGCCGGGACTTCTCCCGCAGCCAGCGAGGCGAAGGCGGGGCCGGCTGTGGGTCGGCCGGCGAGTTAGCGGCAGGACCGGCGCGGCGCGTTAGTCTCGCCTGGAGCGCCCTCAGACGTGTGGGATGTGGGATCCAGCTCCAGCTGGGAAGGGGGGGAGCAGAAGATTGCTTGGCAGGTAGGGCTAAGGTAAAATACTGAGACATTCATCACGCGAAGGAAGACAGCTCTTCTGTAGTACGCAGTGCTTCAGGTGGTCCTTAAAATGCAGCGAGGTAGCCGTGTCGATACGGCTTCTCCCACATGACACTCAGTTCTTGAGGAGGGATCAAGTGAAGCCGATAGGAGCCAGGAGAACCGAGACTTGTGGGATTCCTGTTCCCCGTACCTTCCTTTGAGGGTCGTGCGTCGTTGACTGCCAGAGTTCAGGCATATATATTGTTGTCACTCATAAACTCCAGCCCCTCTCCCCCTTTCATTGTTTAGTGTCGTTTGCTTTAGCTCCTCCTTTGACCACTGCAATGGTAGCAAATTTTGTTCTGCTTTGCCAACAGGCAGATGTCTCTCAGCTACCCCTGTGTAGCTCCAGTCCTGTTCATGTTCTCTCTCACCAGCAGTACAGCTGTGCTGTGAGGATGGTAAGGGGATGAGTGAAGAGGGGTTTGAGAGTGTCATTAACTGGGTGAGTGTGTATGGAGTCTGGCTCCCTTCTCTATCCTTGCTTATATGTCAATGTCTAAATAAAATAGAATACAGGGTCAGTTGCTCCATATATTCTTAATCGTGATACATGGTCATTCCTAGTACCTTGGAAATGTAACAAGTATGAACACTGTAGGCAGAGTTAAGGCATAAGATGTGCTGTTTTAATTTCTTTGGACATAAGGTATCCTTCCTTAAATACTGTGCATATAAGCATTTATAAAAGTGATACATTTTTTAATCCTACAACAATCTGGTGGTTCTTTCGTATTGTGCTAGGCCCTGATATAGTTCAGTGTATGCAGTTCTTGTCTCAGGTAATAGTGCTTGAAGATTCTGAGTCAGGGCAATAGAAGACAATTTATGACTATTTGATACATGCAAGTATTCTGCAGTATCAGCTGAGCCCATCAGTTTCTAATTCCTATCAGCAATCCTACAAGCTTTGCAATACGTAAATTAAATTGAGATGTCTTGATTTATAGTTTTTTAAGAACTCTGCCTGACTCCTTAATCATATTCTTTATGGAACCTCTCAGGGAAATGGCAGACAACTTTGGAATAAAATATTTCCATGTTTAATCTTTTGAAATCTTCAGGGTTTTCGGGTTTACTGTTTTATAGCCTTCTTCTGTGTTGATGATTTTGTACTTTCATCCTTTTGTACCAGGTTTAAGAAAGAGAGATTGCTTGTCAGTTTGTCAAGGAACACAAATTGGTAGTTTTCTAACTACATTTTGAATCACACTTAATATTAGATTTGGTAAATGCTCAATGCTGTTGATGAAGGAGGTAGATACGCTTTTGCTTTTTGTTTGTTTTTTGTTGAGCAGCACATCATGACCCCCTTTTGGATGCTGAAGAGGCACAATTTGGCCAGCCTGTAGTCCTAGCTATATAGACCTAACTTAACCTCAGAATTGGAGAATTAGTTGCTTAACTATTTGCAAAGAACTTTTGGTCCAATGTTGCATTTGTTGTAAATTCTAACAAATCATAGAGTTTCTTCTTTTTGCTTGTTCCGTAGCTTGACTGTACATTGATCCAATCCTTATAATAGCAAGTCTCCCAAAATATAAACAGACTTTCCTGATAACACATTCTCCCTCAATAGTGCTTTACTTGGCAAGGTCCTGCTAAAGGAGCAGGATTTGGTTATTTCCATTTCTGTATCAAAATCTCTGGCTGTGGGGAGTTTTGTTGAAACATACTGGTTGGCTTCAGGCTAACCAAAAGGCAAGTTCCCTTGATTCTGTTTGGTCTTACAAAGAGGGGTTCATAATCCTGTATTTGCTGTGTCAGAACCTCAGAGTAGCAGTCATGAGCCTTTAACATTTATAATTGCATCTTACAGATGGGGCAAAAGTCAACTTGCAAAAGTAGTTTTTCTAAGACAGGCACTTCCTAAGAAGCAAATGGACTATTTTAATATGGGCTGTCTGGTTCTTTGTTAAAACCTTAATGTCATTTGTGTGTCCCTTTAGTGTACCATTAGCTGCTCTACCTCCATTATTTCTGCTCTTGACAAAATCCTTAATTCTGTCCATCTATCCCTATATCACCTAACACTTCTCCCCCTCCTCTGGCTCATTCCACTATGCCCAACAACCTTACTCTTTCTCAACAGTATCTGATCCACTTGCAGTGGTGGAAGTCTGGTATCTTTAAGGCAGCTAATCTTTTCTCTGCTTACCTCAACAGTAATGCATTGGAACTGGGATTATTCCTTCATCAGAATACAGGAATCATTCACCTTTGCAAGTCCAATTAAGTAACTTTCCCATCCCCATTTTAGTCACCTCCAAGCTTTGGAATATTATTATTTTCCACGGTTTTTTAAATACATTTTTAAAAAAAATTAGGTTCAGCTGTGACAGAAAACCTCAAATAACAGTGGTTTTTTTAAAGGTAAAAGTTTATTGCTCTTGCACATAAAAAATAGTAGTGTAGCTCTTGTCTAAAAATTCCTCAGGGACTCAGGCTTCTTAGTTCTCTGTCACCCCCAAGATGTAATCTCACCCTCATGGTTGAGATGGCAACATTCCTTTTCCAGGCCATAGGATAGTTAAAGGGGGAAAAAGTAAAAGACAGCAGTTTCTTAAGGAAATTTCCTGGAAACTGTCAAAGGACTTACTGCTTCCATCTCATTAGTTGGAACATAGTCATTTGGTGAGACCTAAGTAAGGGAGCTGAGAAATGTAGTTTTATTCAGGGTGGTCAGTGTGCTCAATTAAAAATGGTATGACTGGCCCTAGCTGGGTAGCTCAGTTGGTTAGAACACATCCTGACATACCAAGGTTGTGGATTCAATCCCTGGTCAGGGCTCTACAAGAAGCAACCAATGATTGCATAAATAAGTGGAACAACAGATCAATGTTTTCTCCCCCCCTTCCCCTTCCTCTCTCTCTCTCCCTAAAATCACTCAATCAATCAATAAAATTTTTTAATGGTATGACTGGAAGAAGTGGAGAGTGGCTTTGGGGGGATATTAGCAATATTCTCCAATAGTCTTTTTTTGTTGTTCCTGGGTCACAAATTTTTCTATGTAATGTGTGCTTGGTCTAGTGGGTATTATTAGCTCTGTGTCCTTAGACAAATCATATAACCTCTCCAATCCTCAGTTTCCGTATCTGTTTAATGAAGGATGTAAATGGAAATACTTTATAACTGTTAAATTAATGTGAGATACTCTTTACTGGAAAGTTACCATATTAGTTTCTGATTCTTCTAATATGGCTTCACAGTTCCTTGTCTTTATCAACAAACAGTTTTGATTTCCATTTTCTTTAACTGATGGGGGCATAGTCACACCTTGGAAATGCCACTTCAAACATCTGACCTCTGAAATTCCTCTTTCTGTCCATAAACTTTGTAGCTCATAGTTCTTGCATTCCCGTGCTTTCAATGAACATGCCTTTCGTCATGATTTCTTATGGATTAATGGTTTATCGACTTCTTTCTTGTTCATCTGGCCTCCTTATTCTGTCTGGCCCTGAAGGTCTGGCAGTTAAAGATGTTCTTGCTACCTTCCCCATGTCCTCATTTACCAGATACTGACCACATGCGATTGTTAGAAGCCCAGCATACTGGGAAAAGACATTGGATAACTTACTTACAACAACACAGTGTGATGACTTTCCTGGAGGCATGTATGGGGTGCAGCTGGAGCATAGGGAGAGGAGAGGGTCTGAGTTGTTTTGGAGAACTGAGGGGTGATGCGGCGTTAACACATGAATGAGCACAGAGAAGGAGCACAGCATTACTCTGAGGGAGCGAAATGTGTTCAGTGGGCAAGTGGGTTGGTATTGCTAGAACGTAAAGTGAGAAGTGGGAATTGCAGAAAATGAGACCTGCCAAGTAAGCAGGGGCCAGATCACAAAACCTTGTTAGGAATTTAGACGTGATCTTACAGGCCAAGGGTTCATTGCCCATTTTCTCCCCACCTCGCTGCACAAACTCGTGCACATTGTAGACACATTGGAGGTGCATGTAGGCNCGCTGCACAAACACGTGCACATTGTAGACACATTGGAGGTGCATGTAGGCACTGCCGTGTCAGACCTGAATCTCGATAGTTGGAGTGGTTTACAAATAAACTAGTCTTTTCTTGAGCTTGTTTTTACCTCTCATGGCTGCTGCTTTTCTTTTAATCTCTGGCACTTTTTCCATCTCTTGGGTTTCCCCCAAGTTTAGGATTCCTTACAAAGCTGGTGTTGGTTCTTATTTCTCTCTCCATTTTTTCTGTAGTAATCTCATCAAGTCTAATGGCTTTAGCTATCACCTCTCTGTGAACGTTCCCAAATAAATTCAAGCCTAATTCTCTTTTGCTCCATTTGCTCGTTTCTGATGGCACGTTCAGCACTTCCAGCGGAAACTACCCCGTCCTTACTGTACCACATTTGATTTTTCTTTTGTAGTTCTTATTTTTGTTAGTGGCCCCACTGTCCTCTGCCTGCAAATTCACAGTGTCACTCATCATGTTCCCTGCTATTCCCATCGGTTCCCACCCAGTTCATAACCTCATTATCTTTGCTGGGACAGTTTCATTAGCTATCCAGTTTCATCCTGCCGTTAGCTGCGTTTCCCCTCATTTTATGCCCTGTTGCTAGGTTTATCTTCCTATGTTTAGAAATACAATCCTGACCATGTTACGGTGGCTAAAAACAAAAACCTATTACTGGCCACAACTAAACTTTCAGCTATATTTCCAGCTAGTTTTCCTCTCTCACACATATTTCCATCGAATGAAATAATTTTTTATTCCCTATTTATTCCTTAAGTTTCCCCACATTGTACCCCTGCTGCTGTGTTACTCTCCTACATTCCTTTCTTCACCTCTGCTCACCAACATGCCTTAATTCACAGCCTAGCTGAAATGATTTCCCTGGAATTTCTCAGCTGGAAAAAAAATTTTTTTTAATGAAACTCCATAGTTTACTACCTGTATAACCTTGAGAAAATTATTTAAAGCTCTTTTATCTCAGTTCCCACATCTATAAAATTGGGATGATACAATATTTTATTGATTCTAAGACATATTTTTACATTTTAATATCTATCCAATGTGCATTTGTCTTATAATCGATTACATACCGCAGTTTAATTGCAGCTTTTTTTTTCTTAGTGGTACATAAAGTAGGGTACATCTCATACTTGATAGTCTTAAGTTTGGTGCAGTATGGTAACAGTATAAAATCATGATCTTGGTATGAGAATTAACAGATCTTTATGTAAATGCATAGCACAGCACAGGCACAAAGCAATGCTCAATAATGTTAGCTGTTATTGGCTATAGGTGATTCCCTAACTTACAGCCTCATGAAGTCCTAGAAAATGGTAGTAAGTTGGAATGTCATTGGGTTGAACCTTTGTTTCTGTACTTGCAATATTTATATTTCATGACGTATAAATGCTGAAGTTGGTCATGAAAAGAAATAGTGAAATACATCAAATATATTTTACACACATTTGTTTGTTTAAAAAAAAAGGGCCAATCATAAAAGCTTTGTTATAATTTCCGCTTAGGGACTTTTTCAGCATGGACTGGCCTGCCCGACGCCTTTTAAAATGTGAGTCTTTTATCTTTCCGACAAAAACCTTTCAAGAATCATAAATGTTCATCATTGTTTTAAGTACTTTTAAACTTCAATTAAAATGCAGGCATTTGTCTTGAAACTTTTATTGAGAAAGAATATTTATGAAGGCCTCAGAAGTTATGGAGTAAGGAAAGCTGAGTAGTTTCCATAGTGACTTCTTCAGAGATCCCCATGCTCTTTCCTTTCAGAAAGAGGCTGCTGACCTGATACCACCCTTGACAGGGCAGGGGCCAGTGCTTTCCAGGCCTAGAGTGAGGCACAGGCTTTTCTCATCGACTCAGCATCTTCAAGGGTTGCTTGAATTTTCCGTGTTTATTCTTCTAATGGTTCTGAATGCAAGTTTTCTTTGTTTTTGTCTTTTTCTTTCATTCCATTAGTTTAGCTCTTTCATTGAGCCAAAGTTTATTGAGTTTCTAGATAGTGCCAGGCACTGATCTAGGCGCACTCATAGTTTTTATAGTATTGTTGTGGGGGGAATAGGTAGACATCAGGGTGTAAAATGGTATATAAAGCTTTCTTATTTATATAAATGTTGATTTACGTGTCTTGTCTTTTAAAAACAAAATTTATTGAATTTATTTGGGTGACATTGGTTAATAAAGTTACGTAGGTTTCAGCTGACTTGTCTTGCTTAATAAATTGTAAGCAATTTGATGTTTGGATTTATGGACAGTTTTATAATTCCATGAAAGATGATAGAGGCTCAGTAATTTGTAAAAAGAATAAAGTTTGGTTCTAGAGATGCTGTGGGAGAAAGAGCTAGCTAGCAGACACAAACTCAAACAAATTAATATTTACTGTTTGTCATGGAGATTCTGAATTGTATTTCAGAATATATAGGTATAAAATTAGTGATAATACTGAATATTTATCAGTGAGTAGTTTCTAATAAGAAACAAACTTTTTTGTCATTCCATTTGGGAATTTTTTAGAATATAATTTTCTATATGTAGGTGGAAATTTTGAATTAAAGGTAAATTACTTAATTATTTTAATTGATTTGATAAAACACCAGGAGGGTACCTACTATAGGTATTTCTTTCCAGATTAAAGACAACCCAAGATTTAAATAGAAATTTGATGGATGTGTTTTATCACTTGAATGTTCTATTTAGTCTGTATTTGCGTAAATGGAAATTCAGGTGTAGGGATCAGTTTCCTGGACTGGGTAGTGATATTTGGCTAATGAGGAAAGCATCTTAATAACTTAATCTCTGTCTGTATTTTCTTGCAGTATTATCAGAAAATCCTCCCAGCTTCACCATTACTGTGACATCTGAGGCTGGAGAAAATGATGAAAGTAAGTCTCATAAAAAATACCTGTGGTTTTTCTAAGCCTCTCAGGCATTTTACTCATTCAACAGCAATTCTGTGCTGGGCATTGCAGGTGTAGAGATGCTAAGGTGCTGTTAAGGATCTAGTGTGAGTGTTGTGTGTTTCTAGTTGATATACTATGTAAACATGACTTCTAGAGAAATAGAAAGTCAACATGATATATTCTGACACAATGAACTTAATTTTTAAAAGTGAAACAGAAACATTAACAATACAGCAGATGGAGAAAAGGTAAGAGATTCTTTTGGCCAAAACAAGACTGGATGCATACCTATTTCAGTGATTGTGTGGTATTAGTCAGGATAAATACCTATTTGCATGTTTTTCTCTCTGTCTTTAGAATGGGTATTCTACTGTTATTTAAATATATATGTATAAAGCCAGGTAAAACCTCTATTATACAACTATAAAACTATGACAGATATACAAATTAAATAAGGCAGTTATAAAACTAATAAATTAAAATTAAATAAATTAATTTAAACTTGGCAGATGTTGGGGGAGCGGCAATATCTGAAGTTCATTTCTACCTTTAGTCTAGTTCAATTAATATTATAATTTGAGCCCTGCTGTATAGCTCAGTTGGTTAGAGTGTCACCCTGATACACCAAGGTTGCAGATTTGATCTCTGGTCAGGGCACATACAAGAAGTAACAGATGAATGCATAAATAAGTGAAACAGCAAATGGATGTTTCTCTCTCTCCCTCCCCATCTGTCTCTCTTTCCCTCCCTCATTTCCTCTCCCTTTCTCTAAAAATCAGTAAAAAAAAATACTGTAATTTGATAAAAACATAATGTAAGTTGATATTAACCCCAAGGATTTTTTTCCTGTTAACTAAAATTTAGCCATGTAACACCAATTTTAGTGTTAATACTTGCTAAATCTGTTTTATACAGTTGAAAATGAGGTTAGCATAGAGATAATACTGAAATCTGAATTAAAGGATGTTGGATACACTTATTTACATATAGTATATTTATATATGGGTAATATTTTTATTTATATGTATAAAATCTCATACACAACATGGACAGTTTTTATATTTTGTTTAAAATTGTAAGAATACTTTTATACTTTAAATATACCAAAATGGTAATAGTGATCCCTTCCTGGTGATGGGATTATTATTGATTTTATTTTTACTTTAGTGTATTACTAACTTTTTTATGGTGAATAAATGTCTATTATATCACATAGTAGAATCAATAAATTTTAAAAAACCAGAACGCTTTTTAGCAATAAAAATAGAAAGGTTAATAAAATGAATTTTTAAATGCTCAAAAACAGTGTAATCTTTTTATATCCATTGACTTATAACATTCTTTATTGACATCATACACAAAAATTAAAACAGAATATTTTAAAGTGTTGTGTCTGTGTCATCCCCCCCCCCCCC